CTATGCTATGTGATGACCCACCTGAACACCAAAAGCATAGACACAGTCATGCTGATTCAACAGTGTTTTGCTTTTGTTTTTAAGTCACAAATCTTTGTACTGATCCTTTCCATTGGAGTTCAGGACAAACACAAATCACCAGTGCAACCCTTAGAACCAATGCTAACATGCAAAAAAATTAAAGAAATGATTTGCTTTGGAGAAAGGAACAAACCTTTTCTATTAAAACCCCCCAAAAAAACAAACCAAAAACAAACAAAACAAAACCACAACAACCCCATGCTGGTAGCTCAAACATGTGAGAAAATTAAACTGCAAGACAAGCATGGGGTCTGAAGATGTTCACCACTGTCAACTGAAGCATCTATCAAATATTTCCAGTACTGTCAAAACTCCAAGTCAGCAGAAATGGATTTCAATGAGAAAAAGTTTGGGGGGGGGGGGGGGGAAGAGAAGAGTAGGAGATATTTTTTTCTAATTCAGCACTATCACTCTCCCCTGCTTCAAAGTGACCCTTTTCCAACATAATCTGTGAGTAGAGGAGCATCTACCTTCCTGCAGAGCCAAACTGTACCCGTCATTTTAAACTCTGCAGCCTTCAATGAGATGGAAATGCTAGGTCACTATCTGTGTGTACATGGCTGTACATCAAGCACTCGAGACATTTGTTGTCATACTCTTATTTCAGGCATCAGCTTCTAAAAAGGCTTGCCAGTTTCAGATATTAGAAAACAGCAAGGTCATCTTTAAGGCATCTTCTGGACTAATCCTGTAAAGCAGGGGTTCTCAGACTTGTGATACCACGACCCACCTCTCAGTTGCTCGTGACCCCCCTCTCCACTGCTACAACCAGCCGCTCAGTTGCTCACGACCCCCCTCTAATTTGTTTGCAATCCCCCTCTAAAGTTGCTTGCGACCCCCCCCGGGGGTCGGGACCCACAGTTTGAGAAACGCTGCTGTAAAGGATTTTTCATTTCCTTCAAACTCTGAAAAATACAAGCTAGCATGAGACCAGGTATCTTCTGGAATTCTGAGGAAAAGGAATGCAATTCTTTCCATGTATCCATCTTTTAAGACTTCAAAATTGCTTGAGTTAATCAAATATACTCTATATTTACTATATGAGTACATTAAGGATTTTTACTAGGGATGTGAAAGCGTAACCATGCAAATGGTTAACTGATGAGCCTGGGTTCATCAGTTAACATTCATGGTTACATGCAGACTCCCAGTATGCATGGAGAGCAGGCTTAAGAGCTGGGTCCCAGCATACACCAGCTCCTGTGGAGTCGCCTGCCACCCTGCTCTGCTGCCTCTGTATCAGAGGCAGCAGGGCAAAGAGGCAGGTGGGAGTCAATTGCCAGCACACCTGTAATTGCTGAAATTTTCAGCAGTAACAGAGTTAATTACACACATCTTAACATCCCTAATTTTTACCCATACTTTTTATTCTTGACAAACATCCAACACTGCCTCTCTGTTCATCACTGGATTCTCGACAGCCTAAGTGGTATGAGCTAGGAGTATCACCAACACTTGAACAACCTCCTGAATGCTTTAGTACTTAAGTAATGGAGTCATTTCCCTATTTTGGATGCATTTTATAGTCTCTGTATCCCATGTATATTTCTTTCATGGAAATACTTCACTTGTAAGACTTTTTGACTAATTAGTCAGATTCCATTATCTAGTTTATCTTTAAAGTCATAAGCAGGCTGGGACCACTTTATCAAGGACTGCCTTGCCACTCCCCAGAATGTTTATTATGCTTAGAAAGTGTTTTCCAGCTAGAGATGTTAAATTGCGTGTAATCCGGTAACTGTGTAGCCGACAAACAGTAAACAGCTCTGCACTGAAAATACTTAAGGAGCCAGCAGGCAGACAGGCAAGCATGCTAAATATAGTTTAATCAACTAGTCAGTTAGTTCAGTGTTTCCCAAACTATGGGCAGCGGCCCAGTACTGGGCCGTGGGAAAAAAATACCAGCCTCAGCGTGGCTGCCGGGAGGGGAGCAGAGCGAGGCAGGCTGGGAGGAGATGTGTGTTGGGAGTGGGGGGGAACTGGCCCCCGGGAAGCAGGGTTGGGGGCATCAAGGCTGTCCCACAAAGATGGGGGGAAGCATCTGGCAATCCTACCCTTCCTTGCACCCTCCCTCCTAGCCATATTCCCTACCCCCAATCTGCTCTTGCTCCCGCCTCCTGGAGTGCCCATGCAGTGCCGGGTCCCCCAAGCCGTGGCCCAGGCTGGGCGGAGGATGCAGCCGGATGAAACACTGAAAATGTATTCATTTTTCATTCTTTTTTATGTGTTTTTATTTTGGGGCTGCAAAAAAACAGTACTGAAAAATAAACAGGTTCCAACCAAAATAAAAAGTTTGGGAAACCCTGATTTAGCCAGCTTTCTATCCATCTTACAGTCCATTTATCCAATCCACAAATTTAAAGGGGCGAGAGGGACGGGGGGGGGGGGGGGGCCAGCAGAAGCCAGGACAGAGCTGATTGCCAGCTCAGGGTCCCCCCTATTGAGCTTTTGATTTTAAAATGTATTAAGAGTAGGGATGTTAAATATCAGTGCATTGAATAGTCGATTAACCTCATGAATTCTTATTGATTATTCTATATTCCCCAGGGTTGGGGCTGGCAGACAGTGCATGCCATCCCCACTCCCAAGGAGCCCCCTGCCTCTTCATGCTGTTGCCTCTGATTCAGAGGCAGCAGCGCGGGGTGACAGGTGGGAGCTGGTCCGTGAGGGGAACCAGTTTCAGCCCCCCTCATGGACCAGCTGCCTGCCACTTCACGCTGCTGTCCAGGGTGGGAGCTGAGCCCCCAGATCCAGCACAAGCTGGAACTGAGCCAGGCTGACTGCCCACCTGGTTCCTAATACAATTTAAATGCAAAGCTGCAGCATGGGTAGGTCTGAGACCCAGGCCACTGATGGCCAGCTAGCTAAAAAAATTACTGTTGGCGGCGGGGAGAGGGGGAGGAGAGAAGAAATGCATGTAGTCTATAGTTAACCAGTTAATCGACTACACTATTACATCCCTAATTAAGAGCCCACAGGCTCTTATTACATTTAAAGGGCTGGTGCGCAGCCAGGGGGACCCAGCCAAGCTAGGAATCAGCTGGCTCAGCTCGCATGGATCCCCTCCGCTGTGCTCCTGATTTTTAAATGTATTAAGGGCCAGTAGGCTCTTCATCGGTTTAAAAAGCAGAGTCGCAGCATCTGGGACTGCGTGCAAGTCGGGAATCAGCAGATTCCTGGCTCATGCCTGGTTCCCTGCTACTCCACTGCGGAGAGGGTGCTGGGAGGAAACCTTCTTTTAAGCTGGCTCCCCCCAGCACCGGCACCAGCTCCTGCTCCCTGCCCTTGCTGCCTCTGTTAAAGGCAGCAAGTGGGGAGGGATAGGGGGCAGGAAGCGACCAGTCAACTTACATCCCTACTGGCTGGCTCTGTCCCAGCTCACACCGGATCCCGGCAGCTACCCCCCTTCAGCTCTGCATTAAAAGTATACTTTTTAGTGACTGATGAGGATAAATCTCCTCTTCTTAACTCCTGATTATATTCAAAGAGGTGCTCATTTGAACCAGGTTTCCTCAAAACCATCATGTTTTAAATACAATAATAGAATAAATTAATTATTAGTCTGGACCACCACACCAGTTTAAAAGGCAAGCGAAAAGGAACTTCCACTCCTCCTTGCATTACATCATTAAGATGTAGTCTTTCCTTTCCATACTTTCAGCTAAATCTCTCCATCCAGGTCCACATCTTATATCTCTACTACTATTGCATCCACTTCCTTTCCAACTTCTGCATCAATGCAATTTTGCTCCACTTATACTCATCAAAAAAGTCAATGCCAAAGTAGTTTTCCTGGTTTGTTGCTTCACCTGGATCACTCACACCTCTTAGCTCCTGCCCACTGGCTCTCCCTGCTGAAACACAAGCTACCCATCTTCACTTAAAGTCCTCATGGCCTAGTCCCATCCTACCTATCATGTTGTACACTAACAATGTAGAGACCCCCAACCCCAGCCTTTTCCACCAATGCCAACCTTCACTATTTTTTTTTTTTAATAAAAACAAGCACTATACTTTTTAGAAGTAAATTCTCTTTAATAAAATGTTCACATTGACTGACTGGAACCATATCAAAGAGAACCTAGTAACTTCAGACACCATGTCTTCTGCATGCTGTCAGGCAGCATCGGCACGAATGGCAACCCCTTAGAAACAACAAGTAAGGCACGTAGGCCATAATTTAAAAACAAAACAATAACCTATTAACTGAATTCAAAGTTAGTAAACCCAATTTGGGGTTTAACTGGTAACTTATAATTATTTTGTAGGCATTGTCCTGGGAAGTTAGAGCAACACTAAGAGAATCTACAATACATAGCATAGTGAAAGCACATAAAACTAATATCTCCCACTGGCAGACCAGCTTACTGAAAGCTATTACTCACTTTAATTAAAACATCCTTACCTGCTATACGTGAGATTATTACAATAAGCATCTTAACTTTCCGTTACATTTACCTGTCTTCCTTCTGCTAACATTTCATCACAATATAGCCTCATTGTATTTTTTGACCACACACATTCATCTACTTTGTTTTCTCCTCTTCAACCTTTGCATTAGGGATGTAAAATCCCATTTAACTGGCCAATTGATTAAATAATATGTTTAACCAGTTAACCAACTAAAAAGGGATGAGCCAGGACAGCCGCTCCAGCACTAGAGAGGCCCCCCCCGCCAGCCACTGGGCTGGAACCCCATTCCATCCCTGTTGCAGGCAGGGGCTGCTTCAGCCCCTGCCCACAGCCCCGTCACAGGCAGGGGCTGCATTGACCAGGACACCAGAGTACCCCACAGGCATGGTCTGTACTGGAGCAGCTCCATTAAGAGTGAAACTTACCAGTTAAACCTTCACAACCCCACATGTAAGTCACGGTACGAACGTGTAACTATACAATCACTAAAAATAAGGGGGTCTTACTCTTCATGGTCCCCTCTTCTTCCTCCTCTTCGGTGTTTATTACCATTGTACCCAACTGAGATTCCAGGGTTCCATCGTGCTCTATCATAGTATTGGCTCCATCGCTCATTGTACTGGCAGCTCTTATAGTACCAGTCTCATCTCCACTTGCTCGTACCATGGTACCTGAATCTGTATCGTCTTCCTCCTGTAGGAAGATGCAAGAAGTACATTTATTGAGCAGAATAATCTTATTTAAACAGTGGCTCCATTCAAGGGGAATTGGTATCAAATTTCCAATCGTTTTTTGGTATCAGAGTCTTTAATATTACTAATATTTTTATGTCAGCAAAATGTAACAAATTATGCCTTTTTTCCTCTCCTTCCTATCCCCATTATAGGGTTGCCAACTTGTCATGGAGTCCAGTCCAGGAAACTACCCCCAAATGGGCAATGCAATATCTTCTCCATTCCTTTTCTAGATTTGTTTGTTAGAAATATGCTGGGATGACAGCTTTGCAGACTGAAGTCTTCCACTTAACCACAGAACACAGCCAGCTGGCATCTCAGCCCTGACCCAGTAGCCCAGGTGTAGAGAACGTCAGGCCCAGGGGCCAGATGTGGCCCCTGGCTTGCCTGAATCCAGCCTCTGAGGCTCAGCATTGGGGAGTCCACACTGGCACTCCAGACACCCACCTGCAGGGTTGTAGCACACAAAAATCTACTAGGCTGGGCCTGCCAAGGCTCTGGTGTGAGAGGGGAATGTGGCCAGTGTTTTTCTCCTCCTTAGTAAGGGACTTCTCACTTTTGCGCAGCACCTGGCTGGTTTTTCTGTAGTCAGCAGCCCTCAACCCAAAAAAGGTTCCCCACACCTGCGGTAGGCTATCACTAGAAGTAATTAGGATAATTGAACTAAAACCCCATTTTCAAGTGATCTAGAAATCACTGAACAATTATTAGATGGCAGCAGTATTCAGTCTGTAGTGTGTATGAGCATACTAAAGATCAAAAGGGATAATGTCTTTAGGAGCTAGGATTTAAAATGTGTTGTCAATAGCAATAAATTCTGAATAATTAAAATGAAATGAATTTGTAAGACTTATAAGAAATTGTACATTAAAATCAAACCCTGTCTTTTACTTCCAAAATATTTGCATCCCTTTGTTGCTATACTAACATTTTGACAGACACTGCAATCCTATGCAGTGTTGTCTTTGGGAGGACATATTGTACAATGTTTATGAGTGGGTCATGTATCATCGTGGGCCAGCGACAGGACAGTACACTACACCAGAGGGGGAGAGGGTCGCAGAGCTTCATCAGGAACTAAAAATAGCAGCGAGTGATTAAGGGGAAATTACTCAGACTGTAAACAGCACTAAAGAGGGTCCACTTCTGGGAAGACTTGCACATATTAGTTCAAAGTGGGTATTACAGAGGCCAACACACAAAGAAAGGGCTTGTTATAAAAATAGTTCATTTAAACTGATTCTTGGCCCTCTCTCTGATTCAGCAAATTGAGATGACCTTCTAAAGCAGGGCTACTCAACACGTGGCCTGTGGGCCACACGTGGCCCGCAGCCCATCTGTTTGTGGCCCAAGGTGCAGTTTGGGTTTACGCAGGGCTCAACATGCAGCCCATGGATGGGAGCCAAAACAAAAAAGCAGTCAACATAATGGTCGTCTGTTAATACATGTTTTAGTAGTTATATTCCTGGAATCTCATTGCTCATTAAAAGTGCTGTCATATGGGTGGCAATCAGGTAAATATTGCATTTTTTTATTATCAGCAGAACTGACTTAAATGGGGCCTGTGTTTTGTATAGTCTTGCCTAATCTTTGTATTCATGCTGTCAATGTGACAGAAGCTATTTGCATATATGTGCAGCTATATATGCAACCACGCTTAAGTTGCAGCCCTCGGCATGTGCTGCGAGTATCATAGTGGCCCCTGGGGCATCCAAAGTTGAATAGCCCTGCTCTAAAGCAAAGGGGATCTCAACCATTGAGAAAAGTCTAGAAACATGTAAAACTCTGCTGGGACAGAAAGACTAATGGGTGACCTCTGGTAAGCTTTGAGCATGCATATAGAAACGTCTATGTTTTCCCTGTAATGCTTTTACCTTAAGAATAAAGGTGGATGCTTAGAAAGAGCTGTGTGGTAACTTGTAATTGCTAGCAATATGCTGTTCATATAGCTCAGTGGTCCCCAAACTTTTGAGGTTGTCAGGCGCCAGGGGGCGTGGCCGTTTGCCCGCCGGGCGGCGGGGACACTAGCGCGCCCGGGGGCAGGGGGCGGCCCCCCCTTGACGCATGCCCAGGGGTGGCCCCCG